TGATCCACCTGTCTCAGCTTCCCAAAGTGTGGGATTACAGGCATGAGCCTCTGTGCCCGGCCAACAGTTGTATATCTTAAGAGAATTTCAATCCTTCTTTACAGATCTCTGAACTCTTCTTCCTTCATAGATTATGTTACTTTCTATGGATGCAATATCTTATACTTCTCTAAGGTTCCTAATAATAATTTTTTTTAATGTGCTTCATTGACTGAACGCAGGACTGTTGGGACTGTGGATTCTGGCCCTTCCTTGATGCAGGGCCAGAAAGAGGAAGGGATCTTAGGGCTCGCTCCTCTGGAGAGGACTTGTCAGTTTGATCATACTGACCTTTCCTTTTTTGCTGTCCTTTTTATTTTAACTGTTGGAGACTCACATGTGCCTGTCTATACTGAACGAGGCTGGAGTGGGGACGGTCACTGGATGTCTTCACACTGGGACAAGAGGAGCTGGTCTTCAAACCTGGGGCCTGCACAAGTGAGGGGGGATGTTCTGTGGGAATCAGCGAAATCCTTTGTTCTGTCTGTTGAAACCCCTGCCTTCAGGTTCCCTGCTGCTGCCTGGGCACCTGGATGTTCTCCCTCTCTTGAGCTCCTTGGGAATCTCAGCCCCTGCCCCACACCCCAGCTCCCTGCCAGACACCCCATCCCCATGGGCTGCACTTGCGTCCTGACTGCACAATGTGGACATTGTGCTCATGGCTTTCCCTTTCTCTTGGAAAGAGAATGTGTAATCTATTGCTGTACTATGATGGATGGAACCAGAATGTCCAAACTGGTGCTTGAACATTATTTCTTCTCTCCAGAGTGTCTGTAAGGTCTGCATGAAAGAAGAAATAGCAGAAAGCAGGCACATGGTCAGGAAGGTCCCTTTGACCTAAGAAGGCCCTGGGCAGCTGGGCACCAGGATAGGTGGTCACTCTGCTGTACAGGAAGGAGGACCACGTGAGCCTCACCCCGAGGCCTGTTGTTCTGTGTCTTTAGATCAGGGCTATCTTATTGCTTGTTTTACAGCCTAATAGACTCAGGGCAGGAAGAAATCCTGCCTTTTCAGGCCACAGGTCTCCTAAATGTCCACCCAGAATTGACCAAATCCACAGTAGCTTGTCTAAGAGCGGGTGATATTCTGAGATACGCTCTGGAAAGTCACCGGGAGTGGAAACTAGTGACAGCTTATACCTCAGTGGCATCTTGGTAACCTTGGTAGGAGGTAACAGTGGAAACCACCAAGGGCTGGTGGCCGAGCACTCCGTGAACCAGCCACAAAAGGAGACTGAGGGCTCCTAGCACATTCTTCTGCACCAGCAGGGCGGAGCAAGCTGCAGACTCTGACTCTGGCACTGAAGGCACATGAGGTCTGTGATGACAGCAGCATTTAAAGTCAGCAGAATGCAACCGCATCTTGGTCTCTGGAAGCCTGGAAAGGCTGTTGAGATCGATGGTTGCGACAGTTCCTTCCTCAGAGAGGGAGACTGAGGCCCAGGGACCGTGAGTCTGGTTTACGTGGCCCGGGCTGGTGGGGCCGCAGGCTGCATCTGCTTTGAGGTCTTGGTTGCGTCACACGTGGGCTGTGCTCCTTTCTCCTGCCAGTGTGCTGTGGAATCTCATTACATGCAGGGTTTGCTGGCCCCCCCAGTGGCTATCCCCAGAGCGTGCAGTTGGAGGAGGGTCTGGGCACAAGCGGTGGACAGACAGAGCTACGGGTGGGCAGCTTCTTGGTGACACAGCCCCCACTGCAAGCTCCTGAGTTCATCCTCACCCAGAGGTAAGCCCTGAAGAGCCACAGGCCTGGACAATACTTACCACGGGCCACAAGGTATGGTAATGCCCAATTTATAGACTCACCATCCCAGACTGTGCAGATAGGGGCTGAAAACTGTAACAGTCCCCCCCAGCCTACATCTGTGAAGAAAAGGGTAGTTTTTCTCTCAAAAGAGCACCCCAAAACATCAGAGCAGATGTGGGCATCCCATTTATTGGTCATAATCAGGGTTCACCCTTCCCCCCAAGTCACCCTGGACCCCAGCAGCCTCTTGCTAGAGTTTCCTTTTCCCTGAGCAAACACTGTCAGTTTTTGAGCAGAATCAAGATCCCGATTTTCTATTCTGAATTGTAGTTTTAAAGGGACTTGGGGGGTCTGGAACAGCCTCCCTGACACTTGCTGTTGATAGTGTTAGTGCTGTAGACTTCAGAAACAGAAGATGAGCAGGGCCTTCAGGGCCAGCACAGCAGGTGGGATCCTGCAGAGACAGGAGGGATGGAGGAGTGTGGCAGGGTGGCCTGGGGTCCTCTGGTGGGGAGGCGATCACCCCCACCACTCCTGTTCTAGCAGACGCCCCATCTTCTCTACAGGAGGGCCACCAGGAGCAGAGCAGGTCCTGAGGGTGTGGGGTCTCCCTCATCAGGGAGCTGAAACCAGGTTGACTCAAGGCTCGTGCTAGTGAGGGAAGAATTACAGGGGGACAGAGGAGAAAAGGGGGAACGGCCCCTAAATCACATGGTCTGCTTGCTGAAACAGCCAGATTGTGAGAAAATGTACACCACACAGATGGACTCACTTTTCCATTCATGGCTAAGAGCTGACACCAGGCAGAGTCTGCCATGGCCACGGTGTCCCCTGTGTCTTGCCTGACCTCTCCACATGGCCATCTCGACCCCTCCTCTTGCTCCCCCAACTCCCATGCCTCCCCACTCCGATCTGAAGGCCATGCTTCAACCTGAGAACGTCAGTTCCTTCGTTCAAAGTGGCTTCGTTGCGGTGTGATTGGCTGTACATGTGTAGATGGAGCACCTGAATTTTCTCAGTGTGACTTTCGCATCCACACGAAGCCACCACTGTGATGAAGGTCTTCAATGTACCCTTCTGCCCTTCGCCTCTCCCTGGCCACCCAGGACCATGGATCTGCTTCTGTCACTAAGGATTAGCTGCATTTTATAGAATTTCACGTAAATATGGTATACTTTCGGGTCTTTGTTTTGGTCTGGTCTGGCTTCCTTCACTCTGCATGACAACTTTGAGAGTCACCGTGTTGTGGATGCATGAACAGTTCATTCCTCTCTGTGGAGCGACGTGCCACGGCATGGATGTGCTATAGCTTCTTCACGCTCATCCTATGGATGGGGATTTGGGGGCATCACAGATAAGGCTGCTGTGAACATTCTGTATGTGTATAGTCTGCACACCTGCTTTCATTTCTCATGGTGCATGCCCAGGAGAGCCGTGGCCATGGCACGTGCTAGGTATGCGTTGACCTTGCTGAGGAACCACTGACCCTTGCCCTGAGTGACTGTGCTGTGCATCCCTGCTCTCCCTCCTGCTCCCTGAAATCTTGTCTCCACAGCCCAGGCCTGTTCCTCCTTTGAGGTCTCTGTTTCCTCCACATTTCTGCTCACTGGCTCTTCCATGAGCCTGCTCTGAGCCCTCTATGCAGTTGCCCCTATGACCCACCAGGTGACCCTGCTCTCCGTGTAACATTCCCCTCCTAACACCCTACATACATTACAACCCTGCAGGAAGAGAGTGTTCTGATGAGTCAAGTATTAGAATGGCTCCTGTTGAGGAAGAAGGCACAGGTGGGTGGATTTTGTCACCCAGTGTCCCCTTGAGACAGGGCCTATCCTTACACTGTCTCTTTTCCAGCCCTCTGGAGCTGGCCCCAGCCCCATCTGCCTTCCCCGGCCCTGTGTCTGCCATGGAGCTGAGCCAGGCCCTGCCCTCCAGCCAGGTGAGGCTTCCCTGTGAGCACTAAAGGATTCCCTCTTTACTCCTGGATCTGCAGCTCATGGTGCTGAGGAGGGTTCAGCTGGTGCCACTGGAGGGAATACACCAGGCAAAGATGAACAGGGACAAGGATGATTTGTGGCTAGACATTACTGGACTGGGAGCTGGGGTGAGGGATGCTGTGGGGCAGTGTTCCCTCCTGAGCCCAGACTTGGAGGGGTCTTCCCAAGGTCAGGAGGTGCCCAGGTGGGAAGGCCGATCTTGAGCCTGGAAAGGAAGCCTCTGTGTTTAACATTGTGTTTTCTTCCAGGTGCAGTGTTCCAACAGCCAGGCCTCTGGTGATGCCTTCTGGGGAGCCAGGATGCTCCTTGAGTTTTCAGGGGGCAGCCTGGGCTGAACTCTCCTCAGGAGCCAGGCGGCACCCCAGGAGAAGCAGGTGTGGATGGTCTGGCTGGTCAACACAAGGAGTTGCAGAGCTTTATCCTGAACACAAAATGAAGGTCCCTAGAGTTCCCCTGGGGGCTCTGCTGAAAAGCATTGATTCTTTCCCACTGCCATGTTTGAATAGTTGGGTTGGCAATTCCCTGTAGTTGAGAAATGTTCATGGGATCAGAAGTCAAAGGTGTCCCACTCAGGCAGCTCTGGATCAGTCAGGCTCCGGGGCACTTGTGGGCAGAGAAGGCCATTCTAGAGAGGGGAGTGTTCCGCTGCTGGCTGCCTTGCCATCTGCCCATGCACAAGGCCAGACTTCTCCACCAAGTTAACTGAGTGAGGTATGAGGAGTGTCCTGAGATTTCTGTGTGTAGGGACTTCGAGTACTGGGAGGCAGACCCGTCTGCGAATGGCCCAGGCAGGGCAGAGTAGGCTGCGTTTTCCCTTCAGGTTGTAATTCACTGTGTCTATGACACAAATGTTGTCAATTAAAGTTTAATGTTTTGAACTCCCTTGTATTCACGTAACCATGTATCCTGGGCATCTGTCCATGCCAAAGTACAGAGATGAACATCAGCCTTTCCACCCGGGGCCAGCGTTTCATGATGTGGGTGAACATTAATCATGCAGCAGTGTCCGACAGATGGACATCTGGATGGTTTCTAGTGCCTGTTTTATATGCAGCATTTGGGTGGGCAGCCCTGTCCTCTGCCCTTTGCCCTTCACCTGGTTATTATTAGGATAAATTCCTGGAAGCTGAATTTCTGGGTCGGTTATGGTAGCCCTAGGTGTGGACTGTGGGTTTTGGAGTGTCTGTGACCGACCTTGTGCTCACCTGGCCACGTGCCCATCTCAGGGGAGAGCCACAAGTGGTCTGGGCTGAGGTCAATAGCCCTTAACCCAGAGAATTCAGACTCTGGCCCTGCTCTCAGGAGCTCCCAGGCTGCCCTGTGAGAGACAGGAGCACAAATACCAACCTTCCTGTGGGGTCATGGGTGGAACAGGAGGAGGAGCCATGGCTGGGAGATCTGACGGTGGGGGTCGGGGGAACAGGAGAATCTTGACGGAGGTTGGAGAAGGGTATTGTGATAGGAAGGGAATGAAGTAGTGTGGCAAAGAGAACAGGGGCTTTGGTATCTGGCGACCATTGCATTGCTCACCTGTGGCCCCATGCATCCCTGGCAATCCCCAGGCCTGGAGAAGCAGGAGGGCACTGGGACCAGCTTCCCAGCCATCCTGAGTTTGAAGAATGTGCTGCCAGCAGGGTGGTATGGAGTGGAGGGCACAGCTGCTTGCCTACCTGTCGCAGGAGAACTGGCCCCCATGTTCCCTACAGGCCGGCTCCCCCAGACTCAGAGGGCAGAAGCAGCGGCAGTGACTACTGTGCCTTGGGCTGCTATGGGAGGCACCACCCTTTGGCCCTCCCAGGAAACACACAGAGCCTGGGCCTAACCCAGCCCTGGGCTGGGGCCTTTCCTGCAACCAGCAGGGCCCAGAGACCCAGCAAAGAGGCACTGGGTGCTAGCTGGTCACAGCCAGAGGCCCAGGCTGCACAAGGATCTCCAGGGCATGTTGTTCCCTCCTGTCCTCAGCAGGTCTGTCCTGAACGTTCTAGAGTCCTGACTCAGCTGTATCATGTCCCTTCTAGAGAAAACGGACTAAAGTCTCTGGAGCCAGCCCTTGGCTAGGACTGGACCTCCTGAAAGGGGATCCCTAGCAGTGGCTGCAGGTCCTGCCAGGATGGAAGCTGGAGGCTCCTCACTGTCTCTGTTCACCTGTGAGGAGCTGCTACCCACAGGCCCTTCCTTCCCGTCTCCTTTCTGGCTTTATCCCTGGCCTCTGTGACAATGGCATGTGGCCCCACAGCCTGTTCTGCCCTCACCCCATTAAAGGACCAGCTTGAGTCCAGTGGACACAGGTGAGGCACCATAACCAAGTGGTGTGACCCCTTTCTGTGCCTTCCTGAGGCACCTGTCTAGAGAATGAAGGGACATAATGGCTGTTCCAGTGGATTGACGGCTGGGAGGAGGGGCCAAGAGAGGTATGAGGGGTGGGGTTTGACCAGCCCTGGGCTTTCTGGACCCCAGGGACAGCAAGGTGGGGGCTCAGGGCAGCTCCAGTGACAGCAAGGTGGGGGCTCAGGGCAGCTCCAGTGACAGCAAGGTAGAGGCTCAGGTGCAGCCCCAGGGACAGCAAGGTAGAGGCTCAGGTGCAGCCCCAGGGACAGCAAGGTAGAGGCTCAGGACAGCCCCAGGGACAGCGGGGTGGAGGCTCAGGGCAGCCCCAGGGATAGCGGGGTGGAGGCTCAGGTGCAGCCCCAGGGATAGCGGGGTGGAGGCTCAGGTGCAGCCCCAGGGACAGCAAGGTGGGGGCTCAGGGCAGCCCCGGGTGGGGGCTCAGGACAGCCCCAGGGACAGCAAGGTGGGGGCTCAGGACAGCTCCAGGGACAGCAAGGTGGGGGCTCAGGGCAGCCCCAGGGACAGCGGGGTGGGGGCTCAGGACAGCCCCAGGGACAGCGGGGTGGAGGCTCAGGGCAGCTCCAGGGACAGCGGGGTGGGGGCTCAGGACAGCCCCAGGGACAGCAAGGTGGGGGCTCAGGGCAGCTCCAGGGACAGCGGGGTGGAGGCTCAGGTGCAGCCCCAGGGACAGCAAGGTAGAGGCTCAGGGCAGCCCCAGGGACAGCGAGGTGGAGGCTCAGGTGCAGCCCCAGGGACAGCGGGGTGGAGGCTCAGGTGCAGCCCCAGGGATAGCGGGGTGGAGGCTCAGGTGCAGCCCCAGGGATAGCGGGGTGGAGGCTCAGGTGCAGCCCCAGGGATAGCGGGGTGGAAGCTAAAACAGCTCCAGGAGACTGAGAACTGATACCAGGACTTCCAGACAGAGTGGAAATGACCACCCAATAGCAGGGGTGGCCCATGAAGAGCCCTACTTCCCTGACTCGCCCTCTCGGGTGGGCTTGGGAGGCAGCTGTGGTCTGGAGAGACTGGTGGATGGAGCATGCCTGGCCTGTGTTCCTTTCCTAGAGCTGCTGTAACAAAAGCACCACAAACTGAGAGGCTTAGAGCAATGGAGATTTGTCGTCTCCGAGTTGGGAAATCCAGGAGACCGAGTCATGCTCTCTCTGAAGAGTGGGAAGGATCGCCCCCAGGCCTCTCCCCAGTTCTGCTTGTTTCTTGGCTTGTGGCATCGAAGCTTCAGTCTTACGAGCCTTCCTCCTTGTATGCATGTCTGTGTCCAAATTCCCCCTTTTTTATAAGGACACAATCATAGTGGATTAAGGCTGGTTCTAATTACTTCATCTCACATTTATCATCTGCAAAGACCCTGTTTCCATATAAGGCCACATTCACAGCTACTGGGGGTCAGTACTTGAACATATGAATTTGGGGGATATAATCCAATCCCAGTCTCTGCCGGTGATCTCCACATCCCTGCTGGTGCCAGGTAACCATGGCCCCTCTCAGGGTGCCCCATCCTTGTACCTGGTGCTCCAGGCAGTTCACCAGAGGGCCTAACTGCTGGATTTGGGGCTGGCATTGGGATCCCTTGCCCAGGAAAGGCTGGACTCAGACTGTTCTGGGGTTGAGGTGCTGGTGTTTTGAAGGCAGGAAAAACCAGAGGCTGGTCCTTCTCTGGATGCTGAGCCACAGCAGGGGGCCTCTCCTGGGGGCTCCCATGCCTCCTGTGGCGTAGGCAGAAAGTATTTACAGTCCCAGGCCCCCAAAGGCAAAAGCCCCTTCTGACTTAGATAGCATCCCTCCCACTCTGCTTGCCTGCAGAGCCCCTGAGGTTTTCTGGGGGACCTCAGTGGAGCTGAATCATCAGGGTTGAGGCAGGCCCTAGAGTTGATCTTTAGCATACAGAGAGTGGAAGGGGTGTGGATGGCAGCGAGGTGCAGGTGGCCTCAGTTCTAACTAAATATTACAATACTAGTATGATTCCACTTCCTGGAGCTGACCTCTGGGGAGCCCCAGGCTGGTGTATTTATGATAGGGTCTGTGTGGCTCATGAGGCTTCACACGGAGCCTGAGCCATCTCATGACCAGACAAGCGCCCCCACAGCTGGGTTACCTCTCCTGTGTGGCCTGGACACAGGTTCATACGACTCACAAATTTGAGTGGCACCTGGAGACTGGGTTCTGGGCTGGAACCTGAATGTGAAGCCACTTGGAGGCTGTGTGATTGCAGGTGAATCATTCAGTCACCTGAGCCTGGCCCTCCCCTCTGCAAAAGGAACTAGCCATACCTAGCAGATTGCCGTGAGTCACCTGAGCAAGATACCTGCATGGTGGTGGTCAGAAAACACTGATTTCTCCTTGTTGAAACGGGACAACCCTGGGAGATCATGTGCTGAGGTATGAATTACAGCAAAGCAAGTTTCAGAAGACGCCGTGTGCCCTAAGGAGGCATTGCTGATCACTCGGTGTCTGTGACGGCATCAGAGAGAAGGTGACCTGGACCTGGAATGACGAAACGGTCACAGGTTTAGGAGCTGGCAGATGGTGTGGCTGGAGCACATGTCTGAAATGTGGTTGGCCAGGCCCAGGCAGCACTGGGCTGTGGAGGGGTTTAAACGCGAGGCTAAGAGGGCTCACCCTGGTGAGGGAATGCTGCGGACTACATTTTTTTATTGAGGTAAAATTTACACATAAAATTAACTTTTAAAAATGTACACTTCTGTGACATTTAGTTCATGTACAACATTGTGCAGCCACCACCTCTTCGTTCCAAGATAGCTTTATCACTCCAAAGGAAATCCTCTCTCCATTAAGCAGCTGTCACACATTCCATCCTCCCTCCGACCCGACAGCCTGTTGTCTCTTTGGATTTACCCATTATGGGTATTTCATATACGTGGTATCATACATTACGTGACCTTTTTGTGTCCAGCTTCTTTCTACACATTGTTTTTATCTTTGTAGAGATGGAGTCTTGCTCTGCTGCCCAGACTGGACTTGAACTCTCAGGCTCAAGCGACCTCCCACCTCAACCTCCCAAGTAGCTGGGATTAAGGTGTGTGGCCCTGTGCTGGGTTCTCAGCACAATGTTTTTCCTCCATATTGTAGCAAGGGTCAGCCACAGCAGCTTTGCCATTTTACAGCGGTGTTCACGTTTCTCCACTTCTTTGTCAGCACTTGTTTCTGGTTTGCTTTTAAAATAATAGCCATTCTGATGGGTATGGAATGTTATCTCATTATATTTTTGATTTATATTTCCATGATGGCTAGTTATGTTGAGCATTGTTTCATATGCTATTTGCGTATCTTATTTACAGAAAAGTCTCTTCACTTTGATCTTGGGCTTTTTGTTGTTGAGTTGTAAGGGTTCTTTATATATTCCGGATACTAGACCCTCATCAGGTATATTATTTTACAGTGTCTTTTCTCCCATATTCAACTTTTTTTTTTTTTTTTTTGAGACAGAGCTCGCTCTGTCCCCGCCTGGAGTGCAGTGGTGAGATCTGGGCGCACTGCAAGCTCCGCCTCCCAGTTCACACCATTCTCCTACCTCAGCCCTCCCGAGTAGCTGGACAACAGGTGCCCGCCACCAAATGCCTGGTTAATTTTCTTGTATTTTTTAGTAGAGAACGGGGTTTCACCATGTAGCCAGGATGCTCAATCTCCTGACCTTGTGATCTGCCCGCCTGGCCTCCCAAAGTGCTGGGATTACAGCGTGAGCCACCGCACCTGGTCTTTTTTTTTTTTTTTGAGACGGAATCTTGCTTTCTTGCTCTGTCACCTGGGCTGCAGTGCAGTGGCATGATCTTGGCTGACTGCAGCCTCCACTTGCAGCTTCAAGTGATCTTCCTGCCTCAGCTTCTGGAGTACCTGGGATTACAGGTACATGCCACCACACTCAGCTAATTTTTTTTTTTTTTAGTAGAGATGGGGTTTTGCCAAGTCGTCCAGGCTGGTCTCGCACTCCTGACCTCAACTGATCCTCCCACCTTGGCCTCCCAAAGTGCTGGGATTACAGGCATGAGCCACCGCACCCAGCCTCTTTTCACTTTCTTGATAGTGTCCATTGATGTCAAAAGATTTCAATTTTGATGAAGTCCAATTTATCTATTTTTAATTTTGTTTCGCATGCTTCTAGTGTCACATCCAAGAAATCATTGCCAAATCCAATGCCAACAAGTAGATGAAAAGATTTTCAACATCACTAGCCATTAGGAACATGAAAATCAAAACCACTGAGATACCATTTCATACCCATTACAGTGGATATTATAAAAAATATGTAGGCCAGGTGTTGTGGTTCAAGCCTGTAATCCCAGCACTTTGGGAGGTCAAGGTGAGTGGATCACTTGAGGACAGGAGTTTGAGACTAGCCTGGCCTGGCCAAGATGGTGAAACCCCATCTCAACTAAAAATATGAAAAAAATAGCTGGATATGGTGGCACATGCCTATAATCCCAGCTACTCAGGAGGCTGAGGAAGGAGAATCACTTGAACCTAGGAGGCGGAGCTTGCAGTGAGCTGAGATGGTGCCACTGCACTCCAGCCTGGGTGACAGAGTGAAACTCCATTTCAAAAAACAACAAATAACTATCTGGGTGTAGTGGCATGCACCTGTAGTTCCAGCTACCCAGAAAGCTGAGGTGGAAGGATCCCTTGAGCCCAGGAGGCTGGGGCTGCAGTGAGCCATGATCATGCCTATGAAAAGAGAGACAAACATAAACTAATTAATATTGGCAAGTATGTGGAAAAATTGTAAGCCTTGTGCACTGCTGGTGGAATGTAAAATGACAGTTGCACAATAATGGGAATGTACTTCATGCCACTGAAATGTACACTTAAAAATAGTTAAAATGGTAAATTTTCTTATTTTATATATATGTTTATATTTTATATATATATATATGTGTGTGTGTGTATATATATATATATATATATAAAATCACATACAAAAGTCTTCCTTGGAACTGGTCCTGAAATAATTTCATGTGTGATGAAAGAAGACCCTTCTCTCCTGGAGTGATAAGTGGCCTTTTTGTTCATGCTGGCATTATACATCCCAGGCTCTTCCACACACACCCAGCATGATTTCACCAAGCAGAGGGAGTACGTTCTCCAAAGGCCCATTTGTGCCTGTTTCTATCATTATATCCTATTCTATTTAACTCACTCCCTGCCCTC